TGTGCAAGCCGCTCGTTCTTATAATGAGTACACCAATTGCCTTGATTTGGCTTTTCGATAATTTTAACTTATTCCATACCCTCTATTGTTCGCAGAACATCACATCTCTCTTTCAAATGTTCCCACCAAATCTAGCATCTAACGTTCGAGAATCTTTCGTCGCCACAATATATTTTGGGTGTTCAGGAATACGTAGAAATGTCGGCGACCTTACACGTTTCTATATATACATATATGTTAACAATAAAGAGTGATAATTACTTCATTCGAAAATGGAACAACACTTCAGATCAATTTCTGTGTATATTGTTGTATCGTATCGTAAATCAAATCGAAATAATATCTGAAAGACGTCCTTCCGCATTCTGTCAAGAAGGCGACTCCAGGACATTCTCATTCTATAGTTAGATCCTCATAATAATAATCTAGGTATAGGTGAATCATCTTGAACATTCCATCCAGCAATGCATAGCAAAGTCCATATACAGACAATTTTCTCAGATCATAACAAATCTGATAACACGGCTATCCTGCAAACTTGCGGCCTCGCTATGTGACCTAGAACGAATGTGAAAACAAAGACTCAAAGAGCAAATACTATCAAAGGTTTCACCAAAAAATGAAACCATGAAGTGAGGTTCAAACAATTGGGTATGGGTCAAAAAAAGGCAAACATTGAAGGTTCCATGAAAAAGTTACCATTGAAAATGCAAAAAAACTTGTCAACCATTTAAGGTTCAATAACTAGGCATCCATTGAAGGTTCAGTGACTAGGTAACCATTGAAGGTTCAATGACTAGGCAACCATTGAAGGTTCAATGACTAGAAAACCTTCGAAGGTTGAATGACTAGGCAATCATAGAAGGTTCAATATCTAGGTAACCACTGAAGGTTCAATGACTATGCAACCATTGAAGGTTCAATGACTAGGCAACCATTGAAGGTTGAATGACTTGGTAACCATCAAAGGTTCATTGACTAAGTAGCCATTGAATGTTTAATGACTAGGCAACCATTGAAGGTTCAATGACTAGAAAACCATCGAAGGTTGAATGACTAGGCAACCATCGAAGGTTCAATATCTAGGTTACCACTGAAGGTTAAATGACAATGCAACCATTGAAGGTTAAATGACTAGGCAACCATTGAAGGTGGAATGACTTGGTAACCATCAAAGGTTCATTGACTAAGTAGCCATTGAATGTTCAATGACAAGGCAACCATGGAAGGTTCAATAATTGAGTAACATGTGAAGGTTCAATGACTAGGCAACCATCGAAGGTTCATTGACTTAGTAGCCATTGAAAGTCTGCATACTGATGTTCCAGCCTCTCTCAGAGGATCATCACATTATATTCAGGATGTTCAATAGACGTACATTCATAGGATGTCTAATGGACGTACATTCAGGATGTCCAATGTACGTACATTCACGATGTCAATGGATGTAAATTGAAAGCAGTCAGTTCATTAGAGACGTCCAATGGACGTTCAGATGTTCAATGGAAGTACACTGAAAGCAGTCATTGGCTACCCAAACAGAAAATCCATGTCCATGTGTCCTGATGGACACATGACAGTCCGAAACATGTTCCCCTAAATGATCTTTTGATTATTGAACGTTGTGGACATGATTTCGTGTTTTCTAACCCTCTCATCACTACACTCCAATTAGAAAAAATTATGGACTCCTACATAAGATTATATATTATTTATTTCAAAAATATTCATACAGGTACAGTTATTTTCTATAGCGAATTAAAAGTTTCTATGAATATTTTCCTGATTTGATTTCTGCAACCCCGTGGAGATGATCTCGTGGTTTTCTCACTATACGTATGCAAGTTATAATAATTGTGGATTTATATTTTCTTCAGTCTACTAGCTGGGTTCTTCTTTTCTGTTGAAAGAGAAAAACAGTATTATTACTTATAGTGTTCTGTAGTCGAAGATGAGTGTATAAATCAACTCAGATAGCACAATGTCATTCATAAAACGTTCATAAAATATTTGAATATTCTTATAATATTGTCGAAATATGATACAAATATTCTAGGGATGTTTTATGAACATTCGGAATGGACTGTTTCAAATATTTTGAGAATATTCCTAGTATATTGAAGGAGAATGAAGAAAATTAAAAAAAAGGTTGCTCCGGCAGAGATGCGAACCTACTTGTGATTGAATTTTCTTGTGATTGAATTTTTACGAACATGAAACCTTCACCACTCCGCCACGAACCTTATTGATAAATGAAATGAATAGCAAGATGACAACACTGAATTAGTGGGATAATCAGCATTGATGAGGCTAGAGAATAATAGGATATGTCAGGGAGAACATTATAAATATCGATACAAGAATAGAAACATCAATATCATTTATTTCAATACGATTGAAATATCCTCAGAATATTCAAAAAGAATATTTTCAGAACATTCAAAGAGAATATTCTGAGAATATGTAAAATTGAATGTTCATAGAATAATTGCTGCAGGATGAGAATATTCTATGATTATTCTGAGAATATTCTATGAGAATATTTTGGAATGAGTATATTTGAACGTATTCATAGAATATTCTGTGCTGTTTGGGAACTGTCTAAATCCTATATTCAGCAATTCAGCTCAACTTCGACTAGTGCTGTTCCACCCAATTACAATTCAAAGCTATTTCTGATATCATATGATATCCAAGCCGTCCTTTCCGAACAAATAACAAGCTTATAGGTTATCTTATTAAGTGATATCACCATGTTCTGAACATTCGAGATAATTCTGTTACTTCATTGTTCATGAAATTTTTTTGCTGATGAGCAACATACACTGCTGAACGGCAACACAATTGAGTTAACAATGAAAGACAAAATTATGAGGAGATATTCAGATCAGAATGGTATTTTGCAAGACTATTTCACGTTCACGAAGCATAAATAGCATTTATTATAAATGAGTGATTCATTCTGAAAATAAGTACAGCCATGGTAATTTTATGCCAAACTGACAGACTTTGCTTCGCTATCCATGAATACATCCAGACTTTGATTTGATATCAATTGATTACATCGTTGAGAACATGAACGCTGTCAGACCAATCAGAATTTAAAGGTAGCTCATGTTTTTGCGATAAGCACACGTTGTCTCTGGCTTGTGATTGGTCAGATTATGTGATGAGTGAAATAGTCCATAGAATATCATGGAATACTTATTCCACATTACTTACAACGTCATAAACCATTATCAGAGCACATAAATCTTATGAATCAAATAGGTATATGGAAAGGAATATCTGAACATTATGATATCATACCTGCTTTGAATGATTCAGGTCCAAATAGTCTGAATTCTATATTTCATCACAAACACAACACATAAAATGGCAAAACGACCTTGTCTGTCGTCTACATGGGTACATTTTGGATCTAGACTCGATCCGTCTCCTCCATTGCCCAGCTTCATGTTCCGATCAGAGCGCCATCTCGCATCCCTTCTATCTTGCGTCCATCTTCGTACATACATTGAATGTACATGCATGAACGTACTATCTGTAAACGTAAAAACTGTATCCAATAATGTATGTACGTTACTTGGACGTTCTCAAACCATACTATGGATATATCGAAGACTGGAACTTGTGGCACGATAATACACTAGGTACACTGTTTCGCCACTAACCAAACTGATTTTTCAATCGCCTTGACACGTGTTTCGCTAACTATGTTAGCATCTTCAGGAGAAGATTAAAAGTTTTTATCTTCTTCTGAAGATGCTAACATAGTTGCCGAAACACGTGTCGAAGCGTTTAAAAAATCGGTTTGGTTAGTGGTAAAACAGTGTAGTGCATACTATGGATGATACACAATATCGAATATTATACTTCCAATGGACATTCATAATAAGTACAATATTGAGCGTACGATATATATCCAGAATCGTACATTCATAAAACGTGCATAGACGTTCAGTTTGTGAACCTACTATCTTGATCACTATCGCACATTTTTTAAACGTTCTAAAACTACTATAATATGTATGTTTCATAGTGTCGAAAATTGTACATACACTGGACAATCATTGGACTCACGAAACTGAACGTACAAAACATATATGGAATCTCACATCCACTGAACGTGCATCAACGTCCATTTTGTAAACGAACAAGATGGATCTGATTATGTCAATCTTTTGAACTTTATAAAACTACCATCATATGGATGATTCATAATATTGAATATTGTACTTCCAATTCACATCCATCAGACGTACAACTCTGAAGGTATAAAATATATCTGAAATCGGACACATTCATTGATCGTACATTGACGTTCAAATCGTGAACGTACAATCAAGATCCGTTTCTGTATATTTTTTGAACGTTCTAAAACCTACAAATATGGATGTTTCGGTAATGTCGAATATCGTACTGCCAATAATGGACATCCATAAGGCGTACAGTAGTGAACGTTGCAAAATATATACCTCATTGTACATCTGTTGAACATCTACTGGACGTCCACTAGACGTCGTGTGCTATATGGGATTCTCATAAATGACGTATAATAGAAGTCATGTCGTGTACTAGTCGGCGACTAATAAGAATAACATCCAGCATTGTCTATGATTGATGGTGTGCTGTTTCTAATCAAAATTCACTAAACTGGTACCTACGTCCCACCAAGGTGATCTTTCGTCATATGGTTGCCTAGGTCATTCTTCATGAAATCAAGGCTATCGTATGTGAAAAAGCGTTGTCTATAAAATTTCGAAACATCTTGTAGATAGTTCGTATAATGTTTTTATAATTTAGGCGGACTGGCGATGTCATTTATCAATTGTTTTATTTTTATTTCAGAATACTGTGGAGGGACTAACGGCTCTTCGTTCCATCAAGCAAATGAAACAGAATTACCAATAATCATGTGATAGATGGATCCGTCCCAAATTTGAACATAATTGCTCATACCTGCTCAATATAGTACCTAACTGAAAACATGTGAGAAGATGGATAAGCTAGATAATTGTGATAGTGAGTTTGGTTATTCCTACAATTTTCCGATGGAATCGGATAATGAGACAGAATTGGCAACAAAAAACTTACAGAATATCAATAAAGAGCTAGTTTTCAAGAGCAACGATCTGGAAAATGATTCCTTAGCAGTATTGCAAAACATTCATATACGAAATAACGTTGAATATTTACCCACAGATGTTCAAAGTTGTATAGAAGTTGAATCTACGAATATTATCAACATATCAGAAAACCAAATAGTAGAAATCCAGTTCCAAAATGGAAATGGTACTGTAAACACTGAATATATTGTGAATGACAAATTACTAGAGACTAATATAGATGGAGAAGATATAGAGATGAAGTCAACCTTCGTAAACTTAAATGAAGGAGTCTACGAAGAAATCATTCCATATCAGATATATGACGAAATAAATAAAAATAGCACCGATAATTTCGAAATTGTCCAACATATCGACGGAAACATATCGGAGAACTCATCAAACACAGACAACTTTAGTCAAAATACTTTCAACTTGTCTATACTTAGTCCTCAAAGTGAAAATGAAGAACAATCAGAAACAGACCTGACCAGTTTGAACTGGCTGCATAACATCACGAATATTATGGCAGTTCCTAACTTACCCACTCCTCCAGTGTCACCAACACCGAAGCCATCGAAGAGGAAACCCAATAGTAATAGCAGCCATCAAGAAGATTTAACAATAAACATTAATTATTATAAAAAAAATGGAGATAAAAAACCTCCATTTTCTTACGCTACTCTTATTTGTATGGCGATGGGAAAGAATGGGAATAAGATGACGTTATCAGCTATTTATCGGTGGATACGAGAAAATTTTCTGTATTACCGGGAAGCCCATCCTAGTTGGCAGGTAAGATACACTCTAGATAGGTGGATAAAACCTGAATGATGTTTTATATTTTATGCACTTCAGGGATTCAAAAGATACCTTTATTCACTATTTTCTGGGAAAAACATGGTACTTTGAATCCGTAGGGATTTGAACTAACTTTAAATCCATAGGGATTTGAAGTAAATTTTGTACTGTGTTGGGTTCAAGAGCATTTCATTAAAGAACGTGGAATCGTATAATAGTTATTCATTATACAAGGGAGTAAAGTAGTAGATTTTAGCTCCAGGTTGTGTTGTGAGCTAAAATCTAATATTTTTCCCGTGTACAATACACTATTTTTATCTGTGACAGAAGAAAGGACGAATCAATATTGAGAAGATATTACATTACATGACATGATATTGACTAATGTCAAGGTTCTTGCAATTAATTCCGTGTTTGTAACCTTATGTTGGATTTAACACGTTTTTGGCTTTTGGCCCCATCAATTCTAAATTGATTTTTGATAATTAAGTGCGCTCTCTCAAGGGTACGGGACCCTTTTCCTGTAGTACACCAAAATGGTTATTAAGAGCACCTTGTGTGCTCGTCAAGTTTCCCTTCTGGGACTTGACTTTTGATTTTATTTTTTATTTTATATTACAACTGCGCGTTCTTGGGGCACGGGGCCCTTCATTTTGAATGAAAACCCGTTTATTCCTCCAAATCATTTATTATTATTATAAATAATATTATGATGAGAGACATCGGCAACTTTGTTAAAACAAATAATGTTCACCACCATGTAAGTCAGTCTTTGGTTATAACATTTTGTATATTTTCACATATGTCTTTACTTGTAGTAATTTCTAAAATACGGCTGGAGATTTTATAAGTTCGAAACATGTCCCGTTGAATAACTACATCAATATCAAAGTTGTGGAGATGACTTTGAGCTTTCCTTCCTCCTTTTGAAAATTCCACTCCACTTTGAGCAAACATGGACTTCTACCAGACATTATAGAACAATTTACCAGAGAGATGCTCTATTTCATAGTCATATATAGCAAGTCGTAATCGAAATCGTCGTAGACGAATGGTCAGGTCGTTAATTGATTCTTTCTTCAATACTATGGTATAGGTAAATGGTCAGTTTGTATTGTGAAATTTTTCTCGAGAAGATATTGTTCCAACCTTCCTGCAACCCATACGCACGCTAAAGAATCTTTTACTATCTGAGCATAACGTTGTTGTGTTTCGCTCAGAATTTTAGAACAATACATGATTGGAGCCCACCGACCATAATCTTGCAGCTGTTCTAAGCAACCACCGATGCCGTATGATGAAGAATCTGCCAGAATTCTTGTTTTCCTATTAGTATCATACAACTTCAGAACAGGTACAGAAATGAAAATCTTCTTAAGCCTTGAAAAGCAATCATGATGCTCCTTGGTGAATTTGAAAACTATATTTTCTTCCAGTTGATCTCGTAGAAGTTTGGTCTCTCCTACTAGATTATCCAAAAACTTCGCTAGATGGTTAATAAGTCCAAGGAATTGACGTACTGACGTACATGAGTGACGTTTTCAGGTGGAGGCAATTTGACTATAGCATTCACATTAGAATTATCTACTTTCAGTCCCTGTTGATTGATAAAATGTCCTAATAAACTCATCTCTTGGATTCCAATTCCACATTTTCTCTTGTTCAGAGTATGAGACCATTGGTATTCACCAGTTTTAATACCCTTAATAACCGTTCATTATATCTGTATCGATCATATGTCTAAGCTCGGTCTCAACTTTCTTCATAAGTGAAAATGGCACTCTTCTCGGTGTGGAGATCGAAAATGGTAAACTATCTTCAATCAATTTTATTTTGTGTTGAAAATTCCTCAATTTTCCAATTCCATTGGAAATTTCTGGAAACTTTTGAGATATATCCTCGATTGTTATACCTCCTGAAATAACTGGAGTGATATCTGATACCATTTGTAATATTTTGAATGTTTCTATAGCCGGTTTACCAAGCAGATTATCACAATTTCTTATGACAAACATTTTGAATTTGTCAGTTTTGTTTCCGAATGTAACCGACAATTTTACTTTTCTTATGACAGGGCTCTCAAAATCACCTGGATCTTTCAACTTGGTTCGTATCCGTTTCAATATTGGACTATTTCCTAGTTTTTCAAAATTTTTTTGACTGAATATATCAACATAATTATGTTCCTGTGTCGATCTTAAATTCTATATTCTGTCCGCCAACATTCATTCGAATATTCCATTTCTGAGTATATAGCTGGTTCTCTTTTAATTTCGCAAATTATCTGTCCAACTTCATCAATATCAGCATCCGAAGTACTTTCCGTTTCTGATGTATCTTCAACTTCTTGTACAAATTTCTTATCTCTACGTGCTCTGCACATTTTCTTTTTCTTACATCTAGTATTCGATGCAGGACAGTCTCTCAATTCGTGGCTGGGTTTTTGTCCACACCTGCCACCCTGTGGGTACTTTTTCACTTCACTTTTCTTGTCGTAGTAATGTAGTATTATTTATGACCTCTTTGGATTCTATTTACTGATGCAGAATCCATTTGGCGAAGACTTTTGTTCTCAATTTTCACTATTTCACTCTGCAAAATTTTTAATTTTGCTTCTTGCAATGTCAATTTGCTATCCAATTGAAGTACTTCACCAGCAATATTCCCATAGTTGCAGGTTTCACTTGAATTGACGACTGTAGAGATGAAGTCTTGAGAACTTTTTTCATCATCCTGAATTTGTCTATTGAATTTAGCTCTCTCAAATATCACATTAACTCTTCTCAAGAAATGATCATTGAAAAATGAAACCAGTTCACTGTAGTTCGAGAGCTTGTTACCTTCAGGATCATCTTCATATGCAGTAACAAACTGTCCACTTGTGTTTTCTGGCCGGCACTCATGAGGCCTGTTACATTTCTGTATCTTTCGTAATTCGTGAGCTATTGACTCTATTCGCAGGGTTCGAAGGAAAACCTTTCTGGTGGTGTTACATAATTCGCTGCCGTTGCTGTCACTCCAAATGATTGTATATCATTCAGTCTGCTTTTTAAAGCAGTCATGTTCGCCTTAAAAGTTGCATTCTTTTCTCGTAGTCTGTCCAAGTCCAAACTGTAGTATTTAGATACCTGACACCATGTACTGTGTTGGCTTCTAGAGCAACTCATCAAATAAATACTTTTATTGAACTCTTCACATCATAATTATTTTATTCCCCTATCACACAAGGTGATATATATCTCCATTACAAATTTCTTTACAATGAAAGATAAATTTTGAAATGTATCTTCTAAATGTCTGTTGCAATTGTGGCTTTCATCATCGAATATACGCTCCACAATGCCGATGCTTTAAGCTTTTTTACTTTTCCAAGAAATATGCTAGCAATACGTTTCCTTCTGTACATTTTTTTACGTTTCGTTCTTTGCACCATTTGATAAATTCAGATACCTGTTTTTAATATTGTTCTCCAGATTTTTTTGGTAATAATTGCCCTTCAGCTTCTTGAGCTGCCTTTTCGATTTGTGCCATCGCGATCAACTTTTTTCAATCGGTGTGGCGTGTTTGACTAATATTTATTTATTTATGTTCCACTCAGTTACTTATTGTCATAACACACCAAGATTTTCAGTTGCTGATGTCAATCATGATCTGGATCACCATAGTTACTGAGGTCGTTGATATGGTAACAATCAGCCCCTTCGATGATGTTTTAGAAATAGAGTAACTACATTTTACCAGCATTTATTTTTTTTTTCGTTATTATTTCTTCAACGTCTCACCTATCATGAAGTGCATTGAATTGGGACTAAAGTGTTCTCAAATCCCTTGACAAATTATGGCCCTCCCGTTGCTCGGGTATAAACTTTTTGTCTAGGGATTTGAAATACCACATGTGCTATTATGCACTCAAGGGAATTGAAGTTTTTTTCATCCCTTGGGGCGCACGAAAGGGAATCCCTATATAATGTTTGGAGAACATCGTGCATACCTAGAGGGGATAGGGAGAGGAGGTAGGTATATACAGGGTGTTACATAATTCAATACAAATATTTTAATGACATATTCCTGGGGTCAAAATAAGACTTTTTTTCCTATGAACATGTGTCCTAAAATCTACCCCCTCCATGCTACAGACATCGCAAGATGCGCAAAAAAAATCTTAAATTTTGAATTGTGGCTACAATTATGCATCGAATATTTTGAAAATTCACAGGCACTTGTATTTTTAGACGATCTATTCATTTCTTGATTCAAAAATCGAATCGAAAGGGGTGAATGAGGGTTGCATACAGATTTGATGGCAAACATTTTCTATTTCCACCAAAAAAAATTGAATTCAAACATCATCGTTGAATTGGCCACTAAAAAATCATACATTTCAGTCTCTTGCATTTTTTTGAATTAGCTAACCGTTTTAGAGAAAATCGCTAGTAAATGAAAGGGGTGTATTTTCAAATTATCATACTAAAAAAACTTAGTGAGCTATGATTATGTTTGTCTCTGGTAACTAATGATTAATTAATATCTTTTATGCTAAACTGACATTGTGGTATGTCATAACCGTCATGTCACAATCGATTCACTTTCCTCAACTTACCATTACACGCTCAGAAAACGGTTCAATTACTACAAATGTTTGTAGCTTGGAAGGGGTGGATTTTAGGACACATGTTTATAGGAAAAAAAAAGTCTTATTTTGACCCCAGGAATATGTCATTAAAATATTTGTATTGAATTATGTAACACCCTGCATATATGTTCACATTTTCATTATCAAATTCGTGTTTTTCAGACAAAAATACGTGAGTACCAAAAAAAATGATAAAAAAACATCGCATGATGAATGCAGTTTTACTCTTAAAAATAACTGTTTCAAGTCTAACGATCAATTGGAGTAGGTAGTCCGGCACCCCAGTCCAGCCCCTCCCCTCCACTTTTCTCCAAACCACGTGACTCGGCCGACCAATCACAGGCCGGCCTGACTCGGCTAGCTACTCGCGGCCTAGCGAACGGGTCGTCATCATCGGTTGGACTGCGATAGATCCGTTCTAGAGATAACGGCGCGCATTTTATTCCATTTTTCAACAACGGTTATATACAGGGTGTTTGAGTTGGGTAATAGTTTGGAAAAAAATATAGGATGAACCCAAAAGGCGTTATACCGGTCCGACCTACATATAAAGGCTACCCGCTATAACATGATATATACAGGGCGTTTGAGTTGGATAACAGTCAAAAAAAAATATACTGGACGCCTCACCCACTTTTGCGGGATTAGACAGCTGACGTATTACATAAGACAAAGGATTGATGACACGACGTGATGACCTGCAAGTACCGCTACCTAATAATTTAATATACTGGATGTTTGAGTTAGCAATAGCGATAAGAAATAAGGCGTCTCACAGGTACACTCAGCAAAACATACGTATGATAGAGTATCCGTTTGATATACAGCAATAATAGCAATACAAACTCACATAGGGCACTCATGGCCTGACGTTTGACATTTGACAGATGACCAAATACGCTATCATACATCAATACTAGACAAAGCTCTTTGAGGTTATGTTCCATTTCAGACATTCGGTATAGCAAATTTATTTATTCTTCCTATGGTATGTTTTAACTCGTACAGCAATATATAATAATATAGTGCCACTGAATGATCAAGACCTCTATGTCATGTTGACATCATGTTAATATTGGCAGGGATAATCAACACTTAGGAATATTATACATATGGTGCCCCACTGAAAAAAGGTATTTCTTTTCGAGCCACCCTGTATAACATTGGCATTTTCAGTTCGGAGAAGATTAGAAGGAGCATAATAATCATGTTCGTCTCCCTATTGATCAGTACCAATCAAGATGTTGAAGAGTGAGCAAGTGCTGCTGCTGTTGCTTTCAATCATCGCGCCAGTTCCCGCTACTGGCAATGATACGATAGAATATGCAGGTGCCTTTTTGAAGCGTTTCGGCTACATAAATACAACGGATAATGCTGTCACCGATATAGAATCAGCATTAATGACATTTCAAGAGACATACAATCTCCCTGTGAGTGGATCGCTGAATAACGAAACTCTACGACTGCTGAATAGTCCGCGTTGTTCTGTAGGAGAAAATAATTTCATGATACATTCGAAATGGAACAAAACCAAGTTACACTGGTATTTTCCTCAAGCTAAAAAGGTGCATCGTGATACAGCCAAGATGGCATTCGATAGGTGGGAGGAAATATCGAATTTGAAGTTTGAAAATGTGCGAAACCCTAGCAGACAGAAACCTGATATTACCATAACTGTTATTCGAAAAAATCACAATTTCCGAGCAGACTGCCAAGGCACTTCCAAGTGTCCACATAATTTCGACGGCCCTGGAAAAGTTTTAGCTCATGCATATTTCCCAAATGAAAACAACAAATGTGTCGAGATTCATCTCGATGCAGAAGAAAAATGGTATCTTGGAAATAGTACTTCTCCTGACGGCCAAACTAATTTATTGATGGTCCTGATTCACGAAATTGGCCATGCTCTTGGGCTGGGCCACAGTGGCGTCAATACAGCTATTATGTATCCTTGGTATCAAGCAAGTCCAGCATCATTCGATATAGATGATAAGAGGGCGATAGAATATTTGTATGGGCAGAAAACTGAAAACTATCAACCAACAACAACCTCAACAACACAGACAACCGAATCCCAAAAACCGATATCCCAGCACACCTCTACCACAGCTTCATCAGTGTCGTCAAATGAACCCCATAACGTAGACGTTACTAGCACAACCTCAAAGCCTCAGATAACTCCAACAAGATTATGCGACATTCAAGTGCCAGACTTTATGTTTCTAGCCACAGCACCCCAGTTTCAAAATTATCGCATGTACGTGGGATACAATAGATTTTTGTGGAAGTTCGATTTGAACGATATGCGAATTCCATCACAGCCAGAGCTGCTTGATGATTATCTTCCTGAAGATTTAAAGTCTTCTCGAGTTTCACATGTTTTCCAAAATTCTGTGGGTAATCTAGTGACATTTATAAATGATAGCATGTATTATGCAGCATCTTTTCCGAATTTTCAAATCCACCAAAACTTTCGTTTTCCTTTGCCTTCTAAAGCAAAAATTAATGCTGTCTTCCAGACAAACAGTGGACAGGCTTATTTGTTATATAACAACGATTCTTACATTACATTTGATGACAATGGAGACATGAGCAACCGTGGGCCACTTAGTCACATCTTCCCAGGAATTCCAGCAGGCATAATATCAGCTTTTCGTTATATCGATGGAAATATATATTTTTTCGATAGAAATACATACTACAAATATAGTGAATATAATAGACGGGTAGTGAAAGCCGAACCGTTCAGTTGGAGCGTCTTTGGAATATCCTGCCCCAATGATGGATTACTTCATCAATTGAAAACAATGTTAACAAGAATTATATCACTTTACGAATAAACGATTAAATACCATTTTGTTTTATTTCAATTGTCACATGTATGCTGTCTCAGTCACGAGTGTTCAGTATGATGTTCAGGCATGTGTGTTGAAAAATGCATCAATTTTCGAGATATATAATATTAGCATGGAAATGCCGACCTCAACTAAATTGTTTCAAATAAATAGTCGATGTTCATTAAAATGTATGTAGACGTTTGGAGGAGTGACTCTCACGATTTTATTGCACTAAATAAAATACCTACTTTGTTTTTTCAAAAACCCACCCTTCACACTTCATCAAGCTGTCTCCTCCTCCTCCTTGTACTTTCACAGGTAGCAGCACACTTCAGTGAGACTCGTAGGCTTCTCGTACAGACAGCAACACACCTCATTGCCCTTCTATATGTCTTTTATTCCCCTTCTTGTTATTTCAATGGTGTCGTGGCCCTCTTCTGTTGTTGCGCAGTGGTGGTTGGAAGTAACTGAAAGTGGTGAAACTGAAACATAATGTGAGTTGCAAGTGTTGTACAAATTCTCGCGAATCAAATAGGCCATCATTTTGAAAGAGGTGTGCGCATGCGTCACAAAAAAAAAAACGTCACTCTATATGAGTGACGGGGTTAAGTGGTAGTATGACAGGCGTCAATGGCTGTGTGAATGGCAGTGTGGCGGTGCGAATGGCAGTGTGGCGGTGTGAATGGCGGTGTGAATAGCGTAGTGGCGGTGTGAATGGCGGTGTGACGGTGGGAATGGCGGTGGGACTGTGTGAATGGTGGTGTGAATGGTAGTGTGGAGGTGTGCATGGCTGTGTGAATGGCGGTGTGAATGATGTGACGGTATGGTTAGTGTCGGGTTTATAAAGATGTCAGTTGTTGTCCTGACTTCATACTGTTAACATCATAGTAGGAAGAAAAATATATTACGTCTTGAGATGTTTGCTTGTCAGCAATGCAACAAGAAATTCAAGTGGGCCTATGGATTGAAGCGGCATATGGATAGTCATGACGAAAAAGTTTTCAATTGTCATTATTGTGTGGACAAATTCACAAGATTGGATAGCATGAAAAAACATTTGGCGAGAAAGCACAAAGGGAACGACCTGGTTAATCCCCAAAACGAATCGATCACCACTGATCAACGAAATGAGTCGAACTCCATTGATAGTGATCACCAATTATTGTCCCAAAGCCAGTCGAATTCTGAGATTGGTCAGCAGTTGAGTCAAAATGATGCTATCACGGATGATCCTTGTGAGAATGAAATCGAAGATAGACATAAAAAAATTGTGGACTTAGCTGAAATTGTGAGAAATAAATATTTGGCGCTTGAACAACTGGCTGACGTTAAAGTACCTATGAAGCGTTCAAATTCAACATGTCTGAAGATGAACAAGCCGAGTAAGGAATCGCGTCCTGTCAAGTATTCATCTCACATTCAGAATGGCCATAAAAGTACTCGGTATTCACCAAGAGATGACAGCAGCTTCGACATTCTGAGGAAAGGTGGAATAATAAGAGGAGGAAGCTCCAGGAAAGCAGATGAAATAAAATTAGAGCATAGATTGTGTAGAGGTCTTTTGGTATTTTAGTTGAAATAAATAGTATTTCTTTGAATCTCGTTTAATTTTTATTAATACTGAACTGAAACATGAAATGGGTACTCAGCAAAGTGTCTGAGGCCTGATAGCATCTAGCAATTGTTGACATCTAATAACAAAATTGATGTCACGATGACAATATTGGTGATCATTATCCTAATAAAAGAAAATTCCCCTCTGGGTCATTAAATTGACACCTATATTCTCAACATATAGAGCAAAACCATGCGCATACTTACTTGAGCAATGATTTTCAACGACGTTTGCTTGTCTTCTGTTTTACGATCAATTGTGCATAAATCTGACATGGTTGGCTACTGCTGGCTTACTGTTCTCTCATCATCATCATGCATCCGATACTTTCAACAGCTGGTCCTCCATTTCACCAATGAGATGTAATCTGAAACTGCAGTAGAGCATGAGACGCAAGGTCTCAGTATGTGTACAAATAAAGTTCATTATAATATGAAAATATTTCAAGGTTTAGATGGAAAAATCCGCCACTGGGGTTGGGACCCAGTCTTGGACAGCTCTTTTCATCCTCCACTAAAACCCCCACTGCTTCAATCTCGGATGAATGAAGAGCAAACCCATCGTTAATCCTTTTGAAAATATTTCCACAATAATGATATTATTCAGATCATATATGTATGTATAAATGGAAAACTAGTTGGTTTTGCGAAAATGCAACAACAACAAAAAAAAGTAGAGGATTGAGCCTCAAATGCCAAAATGGGATATTTTCAGGCAGATTTCAATAGCAGAGCTCAAAGGTGTTGGATGAATCAACAATTAGAGTTGTTATTTTTCTAGTTGTGAAAAAATGTCGCTGTTTGCCGATTTGGTTAAGCATATCGCATCCATTTTGGGGCTTCTAACTCCGAATTATAATGAGAAAGTTGCACAGGAAGGAATACGAGAATGCGGAAAAGGAATAAAGCGGCTCAACAGGGCTTTGAAGAATTCAGCAAATTTCGGTGAAAATCAACATCTGGAGGCTTGCCTACGAAATTTGAAAACTCTTCGGAACCAGATGAAAGCACTTCAAAAGAAGGGGGCTGGAATTACGACGAGAAAGGAAACTGCTTGGTACAGAGTTCGTTGGGAAGACTTCCAATCTGCTTTTAATAGTAGGATTCGGACTGGAGTAATCTCAAACATGAAGCATAAGGATCCTGCTGCTTTCTTGACCGATTGCAGAGCTCTATTCAGAATACATGTCAAGGATTATACTGGGTAATCAGCAAATTTGGGGAAGGGCTTAGATGGGTGTTTTTCCATCAGGTATGAGAATAGAATCAACAAAAATTAGTGTTCCCAAATGCAAAAGGCCTGGGGCACCAAAATACCAATCTTGAGTGTAAGTGGTTTAATCAAGTGAAAATAATTTGTGTTGCATTGTAAGACGTATTTGTGACAGTTCTTTCATTCCAAATGTAACCTTCTGATTTTTATGTGAATTGATCTGAACACACATCAGGTATTTATAAATTTTAGTTGATGTAAATATACATTGTCATTAAATTAGTATTTTTCTCAAAGGCGTTGAAACATGGTTTAGTGCTGAAACAAATACATCTGGAGAGTGGTCTGGTCGCACAATAATAGAAATATAACCATCACATGTTTCTCCCGAGCCGTCACAAAAACGGAAATGGAACAGAGCGTTCCAGTCGGATCGACGCCCAACTAGGAAGTAAGTTACGCTGAAAAAAGCAGAGTCCTAAGAACTCGAAACCAGTCTGTAGGTGTCTGGAGCGTGGCCTGGCTAGGTCAAAATCAATAGGCATTCAGGAAAGAAACACTTGTATCGGTATTCGTTTATACGAGTCGATACACAGATTTCAGGAGAATGTAATCTACTGTTGGGGCATTAGCCAGGAAAGTAGTTGTTTTTTCTCCCGAAATCTACCATTGTTGTTCATTTATGAACACTGTGTGGAAACGACCCCAACTTTTGATTTTTTTTTTGTAACATAAGATCGTTCCAGAAGATAAAGAAGATGTCAAAATTGAAAAATAAATGAAAATAGTATCATTAATTATTATTATTTATGAATAAAAACATAGTACACATACCTGTTACGATGTTACTTGGACTTTATCAACTTCAAGCCACTGAACCGCTCTTGTTTGAACCACCTGGTCGTACCATTTGTTTAACCCCAAAACTCTTGATGATGTTGATCTCAGTAGTACTCCACAGCATAAACTATAAAGTCGAAAGGGAAAAGTTACCTGTTGAGGATGTCATAAAGCAAGCTGTACAATGAAAACTCAAATCGTCAAAGACACGAGCATAATGTGCGTATTCAATAATCTCAAATGTCTATTTATAGATTTCCCTCATTTTGAGGATATAGAAACTTTGGAAATCATCGAGAAATATGTATCTAACCTGTACGGAAACGAACTGATTTTGAAAACAATAAAAAAAAGATTGAAACGTATATATATACCTTTACTCCTCACAACAACTATCAACATAGGCTGTGGGGAGGTGTGGCACAATATTGTACTGAATACGTCCACTAGTGAATGAATAATCATCGTCCACAGTCTCAAAGATGTCTTCACACACGAAAAAATTATGTCTCCAGCAAAGCACACCGTCACGGTGAAATTGAAGCTGTAACACATCACCTTCGTCATAATTGTCACCTAGGGTAACTTCATACCGGAATAACTGATTATTTATTTCGAAACTAATCAAAATATAAGAATTTATCTGTTCAACAGCGTCTAATTTAAAGTTAATAAAGACAAAATTTTCTGTGAGTATATTAAATTTTACTAAGCACTCGCATTCACTCATTTTGCAAAAGTTTTCACAACAAAATATGAATGAAAACTGGGAGAGATTGAAAAACGTTTTTCTCATACAATAAGCGAACGGAAATCACAAAACATGATTACTGAAAGGAAAGGCTAATGAGATGTTTTTTCCACGCAGAAAGAAAGGAAACGATATCGG